CCCAAACTTCATTCTTCTGTACTTACAGCTTCTCTGGCCCAACTCTCCCTGCTCAACAAGTCATACACACCCACCTCTCTTAACCCCAGCCCCAGTTTCTTTACTGAAAATCATTCAATCTCTTCTCATCTCAGTCCCAGTCCCCCTTGCCCAGGAAATCTTCATCCTCCTTCTTGTCCCAGTTCTCAAAACCCCATCTTTCAACCCTGCCCTGACTTTCCCGGCAGCTTCTGTATAATTCAGGTTATTTCCTCCTTCACACTGCCAGAGTGATAAACGCCTGTCCTGGTTTCAGCTGGGATAGAGTTAATTTTCTTCTTAGTAGCTGGTATAGTGCTGTGTTTTGGATTTAGTATGAGAATAATGTTGATAACACACCGATGGTTTAGTTGTTGCTAAGTAGTGCTTACACCAGTCAAGGACTTTTCAGCTTCCCATGCTCTGCATGGCGTACAAGAAGCTGGGAGGGGGCACAGCCAGGGGGCCTGACCCACATTGGCCACAGGGCTATTCCACACCATATGACGTCATGCTCAGTATATAACTGGGGCGAGTTGGCCGGGGGGGAAGGGATTGCTGCTCGGGAACAGGCTGGGCATCAGTCAGGGGGTGGTGAGCAATTGTGTCGTATATCACTTGCTTGGTACATTATTATTGTATTATATTATTATTATTACTACTACTACTACTATCATTCTATTTTATTTTACTTCAATTATTAAACTGTTCTTATCTCAACCCAGGAGTTGTCTGACTTTCACCCTTCCAATTCTCTCCCCCACCCCACTGGGGGGGAGTGAGTGAGCGGCTGTGTGGTTCATAGTTGCTGGCTGGGGTTAAACCACGACAACGCCTCTTAGCTTTGCCAAATCTCAGCCTCGCCAGACTACAAGCTCCGGAAGATCTGAGCATGCCCCTTTTCTCCCTGATAATGGAGTTGGAGATGTTCAAAGACATGTAACGTAGCTAAATTGGGGTGAATTTTAACTGGGAGTTCAGTAAGACACATCCTTGTCCCAAAGCTGACCCCCTGGCATGGCTCACACTTTCAGTCTGAAGGCCTTAGAGGAGATGAAGAGCAATGAACCGTTTTCAAAGGAAAGGTCACCAGGAGTTTAACATGAGCAAAATGACATTTCCTCCTAGCTTTATTTACAGAACCAGATGAACCATTTCAACTAACATTTTCAAAGCCCAGCATGGATAGTTTCAGCACGAATAGCTAAACTGACAAAATTATAAAAAAACGAGGGCAGGTTACTTTCCTGGGGAACGCTGGGGGAAGAGGAGCCAGGCACCAACTCTGTCAGAGAACTTTTCCCCTTTAAACTAACACTGGCAGCAGCGGGTCAGCCAGTCTGCAGTCCAAATGGTCACTACATTTCTTTTTAATGAGAGTTTGGACTTGCTTCAAGCCTAGTGCTAAAATTAGGTCTTTTGCTAGCTTTTTAATTTTCCAGTTCAAAGGCTAGAAGTTTTCAGAAACCACGTAAGCCACTACTGAAGGTTACAGTCTGGACCACGGTTCTGAGTCCAAGACATCCAGCAGAGGCTGGTTTGCATTTTGTAGGAAGCCAGATGAGCATAGCTCAAAAAAGCAAAAGTGTTGCACGTCACATCAATCTCATGCTGCTATTGGGGAAAATACAGTTCCACTTTTTACGAAAGCCAAGGGAACGAGAAGGATGAATACCTAGAGACAGAGCTTTGGTTGCAATCACAGTGCGTGGTAGTTGAGATGCGCCTGCTCTAAGGTACCTCTCTCTACAGGACACAAGTCATTCCAAAGACAGAAAAAACATGCCAGCCTGGCTGATGGGATTCATCGCTGCTTTCTTTGATGAGATCACCACATGCTATTGCAGAGCAGAAGAAGCCTCAGTGCCTGAGCCCAAATTTTATGGTTCAAGAATCAACAATGTTTTCGCTCAGGAAATTTATAGTCTTTGCCAACCCCAAACCGGAATGAAGACACATCAGTCGCATGTTGCAACCTTTCCAGCAAACTCAGCTCCACATGCACTATTTCAGTTTCTTTTCTGGTTGTATCATTGTGCAAGTAGACATAGGGAAAAGGTTAAAAGTCAAAACAGGCAAGCTGTATCAATAAGTTAAATTCAAATTTTCTTGAAATAAGTAGCAGTCTCAGAGTGCCAACTCCGATCATGTAAGACTGCATACTTAAAAATGTTTGGCTTAGAAAAATTACCTTCATTCTTTTTCCACCAGTGCCCCCCAGAGTGTTTTTTTTAGAGCATTCAAAAGGCAACATTGCACTAGTAAGTCCTCTACCCTTTCAGTCATTCCATTTTACTTTTCACATCAAATATGTTAACTTACCTTTAAACCAACGCAGAGGCTCTCCTGAAATTTTTATACATGTGCTTTTTATATACTGTTTTTTATTTTACTTACACTTCCAGTTACCGATTATGTTTCAGCTTCAAGAAGAACCCTATGAGGAAAATCAAATTTTAAAGAGACAGATAGGCAAGGTCATAATCTATAACAAATATTTTTTTTTCCTTTTTTAATGTAGTTATCCACCTACCTGATGTGCTGACGTGCTCATTCACCTTTTACAAGTATTTAATCTTTTTCACCAGAAGTTAATCAATCAGTGCAAATGACGATGCATGCTCATCAGTTACCAATATATTGCTTTATTTCTTGGTAGCAAATTAAGGCTTTATAGTGAGATTTGTACAGTACAGGCCAATTTAAACATTAGAAACCTTAAAAACCATGTAGCACTATTCACTCAATTTAGCATAGCCAGAAAAGTAGCTTTTTCTTTTTTTAATAAACAGTTAAATGTTACTAATGAGGCCTTATATTTCATGAGTGCAAATGGCTCAAAATCCCACCATCCTCAGGAATAGGCTTAACATTTAACTATCCTTGGGGCCATTTTGAGATAAAGGACAAACAGAGAGTATAGCTGGCTCGGATAAAATACACTGTACTACTTGCTGGAGAAGAATCTCTAATTTTAAAAACACAGAAAGGAAAACCAAAGTGATATTAACTGGCCAAAGGATGGCATCACCCCATATTAGTCACTGACCAGTAATAGTAGCAATGACAAATTCATTTTCCATGGCCCTCTTTGCTTTAGTACAATCTGATTTATAATTCAGAGCTGATGACATCCTGTACGTAAAGAAACTCAAAACTGGAGGAACATACATAAGTTACAGGAATCTTTGCAGCAGTAGGACAAGTTCCCTCTGCAGGGACATGTCCAAACCATTGCTTTTTTGTAATTTGAGAGAGCATTGCTACAAGTATTTCCTCAGCAGTTATGTATTTTTCTCGAGCATATGGATTTTCACTTCATATCAATGATTTTATTAGTGTTGTCTGGAGATGATGGAACTACTGCTTATGAAAACCAGACATGGTGCTTCCCTTCTTATGTTCTCTACTGAGACATTTATAGCGTTTGAGCTGAACGTATGAATTCACCTGTCAGTCAGGCGCAGGGGGCCTGCCTGAAAATATCATCACCCTTAATGTGTCTGGCTTTCAGATCTGAGCATTACATGTGAAAATGCAGGGAAACAGCTCCCAGAAAATTGTGAAGAAAGTAGCCATGAAACAACCACATGCTCCAGGGAAGGAAGCAATGAGATGGGGGAACCTCCAAACCACGCTTGCTCTCGCTTGAGCAAGAGTGACCATGAGAGTACAAGGGGCTCCCAGTGTCACAGGGCAATGCTGGCGTTTTAATTCCTTGTTGAACAGCAGCTGTTTCTCCAGCCTAAGGGAACACACACAGACAAGGTTTCACAAAATCTAAATCTAATGTGAATAACACTCTAAGCCCCTCTGTCCCCAGAGGTGTTATCTAACGTCAGGCTAACGTCTTTGAAGTCTCAAGATCAGCCATCTATCCTTTGAACTGGAAGGCCACAGAAAAGGGTCAGGTTTCTATGTGTATTAAGGCACATACTGAATTTACCTCAACGCACGTGCCTGGTTTGCTCAGGGAGTGTCAACCGCAGTGGTGCCATGGCTGCTGAAGAGATACAGTGAAGGGACAAAGACAGCCTTTCTGGTGACAGCCGCGCAGCACGGCAATGGGGCCTGCCCCGCGCAGGCTGCTCCACAACGCCTCAGAGAGTCCCCAGTGTACTGCGGTGCTGTCTCACCTTGTTGCAGAATTACAGCAGCTTCTCGGGCTGATTTGCTGGCTTTTCCCTTTTCCAGGCTACCAGTATCTCATCTGTTTTCCTTCTCTCAGGTGAATATGTCACTGCGGATCAGACCCAGAAGTCCCTATCTGCTACCAGAGGGTGGTACTACACATGCAGGAGGGGGGGGGATTTAGAAATGAAGGCAAGTAGTGATGATGCACGAGTGACCTGGAGGTGGGCTTTCCAAGAGAATCCATGCATGGGCACAATCTCCTGATTCACTCAGCAGAGTGCTCGGCAATGGCCAGCAGGTCTTATTCCGCCTCAATCAAGTATGGTTAAGAACATTACCCAGTATTTCCTGAGGGATTACAATGGATGACTACCAAAGAGAAACTACTTGGAGACAAGGGGATGCTTTATCAGCCATATTGGAAGAAGTTGGGGAACACAGACACATATTGCATAGTCAGCTTCATGAGCACAGCTGGAATTCAGATGTATTTGACACAGCTTAGTAGCATTTCCAAAGGAGGGATTATGTGCTATTTCCTTTGGAGGTAGCTACTGTAGCCTGGGACAAGATCACGGCTGTTATGGAAACGGCACCCCACTGGGGATGCTGAGCATTCATTGCTTTTGCATTAAGGCAGCCTCTCCACGGAGACCCACCGCACCTTAAAAAGTGATCATACAAAAAGCAAACAAAATAGTCCTCTAGAAACCCCCCTCACCCACAACATACAAGAAAAGCTGACTCCCGTGAGCTATAGAAAAGACAGCATTACTGAATATGGGAGCATGTGTTTATACATCAGTGTTTTTAATACTGCATTGTAACAACAGGTGTGGGGTGTCCTTTCAGAAGAAGGCAGGGTTGGTGTGCTCTATAATACAGCGCTTGCAGTGTCGTTTAACAAATCGCAGAGCATCCACAGAGACATCGCAGTCCTGCACATTCAACATTTGCAGGTCAAAACAGTTGGCAGCTACAATCTGCAGGCCCTGCCCAGTGATGCTCTCACATGATTTCAGGCTCAGGCGCTTCAGGTTGAAGCAGTTGAGGGCTAGAAACTCCAGGCCGGTGTCTGAGACCAGAGGGCACTTGCCAATATCTAGCGATTTGAGTTTTGTGCAATTTTTGGCGAGGTACTCCACACCGTGGTCCGTGATGCCCTCGCAGCCCCGCGCGTTGAGGTAGCGCAGCTTGCTGCAGTATTTGGCTATGTAGCGGATGCCCACATCTGTGATCCGGCCGCAGTGAGCAATGCTAAGGTATCGGAGGCGCGACTCCAGCTTGGCAATCTCCCGCATGCCGAAGTCACTGACAAAGCGACAGTCGCTCACGCTCAGTTCCTTAATGGACGTGCAGTAAATCATCAGGTAGCGGAGACCCTCGTCGGTGATGCGGACACAGCGGCGCAGGTACAGGTGGGTCAGTTGAGTGCAGTGAGCGGCAATGGTGTGCAGTCCTTCGTCCTCCAGGACGAAGCAGTCTGTCATGTCCAAGTAGCGAATGGAGATCTGTTTCCCATGTAAAGGAGACAGCTTGATGGAGGCTTCACGAGTCAAACTGATGCATGTTACTTTGGAGCAGCCTAAGTGGAAAAACGCAGTGAATTTAAGCAAGCAGTAAAGACAAATCACTCAGCAAGACCAGAAAGGTGGGCATGAAATCATGTGCTGGATTTGATGAAGATATCTTCATGTTGCAAGGGCAGAATCATCCTGACTGACTAGTCTGGATTTCCTGTGATGTGTCCCTACACCAGAGGAACTCCGCTGGAGTCAGTGAGGTTGCTTTGGGATTTCGAGCACCAGCAAAGCGACAGACCAATTTTGACCATATTCCAAATGTAAAATGATGGACCTAGGTTTATCTAGGGACAGTCTATGATCTGTTACTGCAATACAAACCCAGTGACAATTTGAGAAAATGGTACTACGTGGCAGCCAACGCAGCTTTTTGATCAGAGGCAGTGTCGTTGCTGACTGGCTGAGTTTGTAAACCAACATCAGAGGCTCTTTCACCATCCAACCCCATTATAAAAGAGACAAACTCTACCCACTCTCCCAAAAAGCATTTGGAGAACAGATGTGAATCCAGCCCCAAGCCTGCAATGTGGGAAGGATGCAAAACTATGGCAAGACTATGTGCTTGCAGAAGGGTGGAGATTTGGGCAACATAGGAGAATGGGGAGAGCCAGCAGGAGCCAACAGACTGGTAAGGGCATGGGAGGACATGGACAGATGCAGAAAGGGACTGTTTCAAGTGACAAAGTCTGGCCATGAATGGAGGTAACTAGACTAGAGGAGAAACGCCAGACCTTGCAAGGAAAGATAAAGAGCTAGATTAAAGGGAAAAACACGCTCACAGACTTCACCCATTTTTAACCTCCACTCTGTGCATGGTGGTGAATGAAAGCTTTTTTGGGAAAGTGCTGTTTCTCCTGTACTGCAAACTGTCAGTCTCGGGCCCCTGAAAGGAAATTCTTATCTGTACCAAGTTCAGCTGGGCACATTGCATTAGCATAGCTAGAAACATCTACAAGGAAGAAGGGAGGGTCTACCTGTTAGTGATAAGGCCCAACAGTTTTAGCCGTAAATGTCTACTCAGACAAATTCTGCAGCTTGTGCCTAAAGAGGTGCCCTCAGGTAGGGATAAAAAGAGCTTTTCTGTATTGCTGAAACACTGGCCAATGGGGATGAAGTGACCCACAAAAAGCCAGAAAAGTTAGGATGACAACCTTAGAGCTCCATGTATCAGAAGTGCTACACAAATCCTGTAGTCTGGTAGTAAAGAGGACAACAATGTATGGAGACCACGTCAAAAACGTGAATGACCCAAACCCATACCACTTGATACAACAGGTTCTCATTCAGAGGCTTAGTGGAAGGTATGAATATGCTTCAGTTCTTGTGGTGGTGCCTGTCCTCCCCCCCCCCCCCCCCCCCCTCCTGTCAAGGCTTGGCCTTTGAGCAATGAATCTGGCGGTTAAGTGCCCCTTGGTCGTACAAGGCACTCCTGCATGGCTGAGCTGGGGAGCAAGAATGCCTTGATCCCACCTGGCATCATCAGACACCCCCTGGCAGCATGGGAACACATCATTGTGGATCATAACTCGGGCGGATCGGTAAGGGAAGATCGTACCTCCCTTGCTGAGATTCATGAGAACTCAGCAATTACTGACCGGAGCTGTGGCCAGAATGGAAATTTACTGATGCCTAAAGTCAATCATCTGACAACCCTATAAACAACGGTACCACAGGAGACCCTTTGAGCTCTCCTGGACCGCAGCGGGCTGTGGCAGAATCTCCCTCTGAGCGGGATGCCTCTGAGAGCTGCGAACTCTTAAGTTTGCATACGGAGGCCTGGCAACAGGACCTGGACTGACCTCCAGTGCCCTTCACTCCTTGAGGTTCAACACTTTGCCTGTTGAGACAATCATTGAAGTGAGTATTTCACTGAACTCGAGGGGAATTTTTAATAGGTACCTTTATCTGCGCATACCAAACTCGCGAGGGATTTTAAGAGGTACCTTTATTAGGCCTATTGTATGCTCTGTGTGTGTGAGAATTGATTCAAATATCGTAGTAAACTTTATTTAATCACTTTGTAGATGCTAGAGTAACCAATAATTAGTTACTGCTAAATTCTTGTGATTCTCTCCTCACTGTGAACAAACCTTAAGTTGCTGCTAAGTCCTTAGACATAAACCATTGACCAAGTCTGAGACTAGGACTGGATCCAGCTGCACCTAGGCTCCTCTCTGAGAAGGAGTTTAGAAAGCAAGGGGGTCCGTTCCAAACCTTGTGACTCAATGGGAGGGCCTCCTTTACCCACCTTGTATTTCCTTCTATTTCAATCTTCCCTTCTCTCTCTCTCTTTCTCTCTCTATACATGTATTCCATTCGTTTAATAAGTAATAGAGTGAACCTTGCCATCCAACTTTGTTAAATCACCCTTTTATAGATTTCTATTAAAATCACTATTTGCAAATATCTTTGGCAGTGATTATTTAAGTGACCTAACTGCTCATTTGTGACAGTTCTTAAAAACAAAAAGGAAAAAAAATCCCTTGAGATAATCCAGTGGGCTCACACAAATGCTGTAAGAAGCATGAGATACGGACTTGAAACAGTTTGCCACCTGCAACTAGATTTCTACATTCATTTGAATTTGGAGCTGGATTTTTAATTTAGGCTTCAAATTTATTTGAACGGACACAAATTTTACCATAGGCCTCACACAATGAAATGGGCAAATTGTCCATAGGTTATGCCGAAGCTCTGGGACCTTGAAGCACAGCATTTTGTTCAGTGAATAACATCTTAAAACTGAATGCTGCTATTTCCTCTTCAGACTGTGTTGCAGATCTGTCTATGTTATGGTGCAATCTTTGGAAATACGTTTGCCTTCAAATACGTACTACATACACGCTCAATAATGCAAAGTGATTTTTCTAAAGGGAAGCAGTACAATATTAATAGTGTAAAAATTTCATCTCTAGTGTGTTCTTTGGAGTAGGTGATACAAAATGCACCACAGGAGTCCCCATCCTTGAGCTGGGTTTCCACAGAAGAAGCTGGCACCTAGGCACAGCGTTCTGCTGGACCTGACGTAGCTGTCGCTATTGCGACATAGCTGTTGCTATTGTGTTTGCCCGAGGAGGTTGCTGGATTAAGGAGTCAGTCTGGATGTTTTACATGCTGACCAGAATTCAATTTTAAAATCTGGCTAAGTGAAAATGAAGGGTCCACAAAGCCGAGGAGAATGTTCTGTCTGCTGAGGATCCAAGAAGAGGGAATGCTTTAATGACCACAATTAGAAAGTGAATGGGTCAGAAGTCTCACAGCAGGGTTGGAGTCACATACATCAGTGTGTGATGACTGTTTTGACAAGCTCAGCATCGCCTTGTCTAGTTACTTTGGCTACACTGTAAAATATTTCATGGGAAGAATATTCAAAATGGTTTCACCAGACAAAGAGTCCATGTTGATACAGAACTGCCTGATTTTTAGGCAAAATGACAGGTTCCTGGGTCTGCAACAATTTTTCTGTCCTAAATAATAAAAAATGTAAAAACAAAGCTCTTGTAACAGGATTTTCCATAAAGTAAGTACAACTGATTTTTAAAAGGGAGGAGAAACTTCCAAACAGATTGAAGAAAATGTTGGCTAGCGTGTTAGATAATAACTTGCAGTCAAGCTCAACCAACTTCTAGAGATATCTCAGACCTGCCCACAAAGTGGATGCTGAGAGTGACAGAACTTGCATTGTGGAAAACTCTTAAAGTGAGTATGAACATCTGGTTTTGACATTAAAAATTTTGGTACGCTATTGCTGCCAAGTAACCATTCAAGGGGGAGAGGGATTCAACTAAATGTACAACTGTGAACTGGGTTTTAATTAACTAGCTACAGCTATAGTGTTATTCCCCGGCACATGTACCTAACTTCTCTTGCTCAGTATGAAACCAAACCAGTGAACTACTTCAGGCCTGAGAATTGCTTGAGTGTGTAGGTGCAAGCCTTATCCTCCTAGCTACAGACAGAAGGAGGGGAAAATGGAATCCTGCTTCCAAAACATCCTCCAAAATTACCCACATCAGAATGAAAAAAGTGGACTCAAAACAAGACCCCAGAGATGAATTATGTTCAATTCATATGCAGGCACATGCAGCAAAAGCCATGTCTGAACCCAAGCACCCTGACTTCCGAGCATGTTCAAAACCAGGATTTTTCCCTCGCCTGCTCCAAAAAGGAAGGACAACTTAGAAAAATGTGAGATTAAAATTACTTTCCTGTCCCGCTGATGAGACAAAATTCAAGGAAGACAGGTATTTTACTTGTCCTCTACACACTTTGGACCAAACTGATGTGCTCTTAGGGACAGACACCATCCTCTAGGTCTGAAGGTAACAGCCTTGGGGAAACCACAAATGAAGACAGACCACAAAAGAACCTATTTCAGGACCTGGTATCATCTTTTCATTTTCTCTGCTTTTGAAAAAGTCACCTTCAGTCTATAGCATAGCTATCAGTAGGAGCTGTAGCCCAAAGCATTTTCAGCCACCTGCAAGCCCCCAAGGACACTCAGGGTGTCAGCTAACAGACTGATGTGCCAAGGCAGTTTACCCTCAGCTCTGCAATTCTACTTGTCCTGTCTCTCCAGGCCCAGGATACTTGATCCACTCAACTCTCCGTACCACCCTAGAGGATGTAGTAAGAAAAGCATAAATACGCCAGGGATACAGCCAGCCTTCAAAGTGATATGTAGCTCTAGGTCTAAATCACACAGGCACATACATTTTCTCCTGGTGTCAGAGATGCCTCAACCTGAATGTGTGGTTAGCAATCCAGAACTAATGTCAGTATGTACAGACAATAAGTAAGTCATATGCAAGGTCATTGTGAACAGGCTCCATGGGACAGGACTCCCATGGAGTCCCACAGAGACTCTTTATCACCTGACGGTTTCAGAGAGCAATTACAAAGAGTGAATAATTCTGATTTGTTGCTATTTGTTTTGATGCCTTCCATGACATTCTGCCACCCTAGGAATATTAGGTGAAAGAATTGGATAAATCAGCTAAAAAAATAAAAGGCAGAAAAAAGAAAGCAAATCAGCGTACACTACAGCAAGCCTTGGAAAAATCAGTTTATCTGGGTACCAGTGACTCAGTAGCATTGCTTCCTATTCCCACTTCATCCTGCTTGTTGCCTCTGCAATGGCAAATCGGGTCTGGCCGATTAATAAAAACTTTAGACTGATAACAAGTGAGATCACAAAATAAGTATTGGACATCAAATTTACTGCAGTGCTCTGCTTGGCTACATCCTTTCCATTAAGTGGCAACCTATTCGCAGAGTGGAAATTCTGTGTGGCTGACCTTGTGAAAAAACATCTTGTTTCCCCAGAGCAGGTCTGAGGAAAATCCTCTAAAACATTTCTGCTGATCTAAACACCTGCAGTGATACATTGTAACTGGGTGAAAGGAAAAGCAGAAAGCCAGTAAGCAAATATATACACTATTAAAAAAAAAAAGCCCAAGCTAGCTAAGTCTCGTTAAAATAGCAATGGAAACAAGGGGACCTTGAAGTTTCGCTAGGGATGACAATTGATAGTTATACCCAGACAAAAGCCTAGCACTGATTCTGAACTCCTCCTCAAGTCACTTAACAGATTACAGATATATACATTATATATATATATAATCTACATATATTTTTTTTAATATATATGTATATATATACATGAAAAAGATAAAACAAATTTTGCTGAAGTAACTACGCTTCACCATATAATTTAGCACTGACTGCAATGTGGGCCCTTGTAAGGGTGCTTTGTGCAAAAATCTATAAAAAGTACTCGTGCTCATTGAACGGGCCATCTCTGCTAGCTTGTCTCCATTGGAAGAGGCCCGGCCACTCAAGAGGTGCTGCTGGCATTTGGGGCATTGAGATTCTAGTGGTGCCTGTCTCACCAGTACTGTGTTAGGAGACTGGTATTCCTACTTCAAAAGACAACACAGAAAGGGAAAGTGTGCAGTTGTGGGGTCAGGGGTTTGACAAGCATGAGGCTTTTAGAATCAGAGGCATTGAAATTATTTCCCGTTACCTGACACATCCAGGTGTTCCAGGTTTGGGCATAGTGACACAACATCAAAGACCGCGTCATTGGAGATGTTGTAACAGCCAGACACCTCCAGCCTCCTCAGTTCTGGACAGCACTGGGCAATGGTGTAGAGTCCTCTGTCCGTGAGCCGCCTGCAGCCACTAACAATTACCGTCTCCAACATGAGACATACGTTGGGTGTATCCTGACAAAGCCTCCGGGTCAGCACTTTAAGAGCCCTGTCTACGTTGATTGTCTCGCCGGTCAGGCGAATAGTCCTCCAAAGTCGGGGGTCCCAGGCAAGGTTATACCAGCGGCGGCACACGCGGGCACAGCGGCACAGCTGGTTGGTGGGCAGGAAGGAGAATATCTGGACCATGGAGTGGTCAGGCAGCCGGTCTATGTTGGCCTGTTCCTTCTGGTGCTTGGATGCCAGCCGGATGAGAGGATGAGTGAGACGGGTTGGAGGTGGCGAGTGGACCATGGCAACCGTTTCCCCAGTGACTGAGGACGAAGACGTCGACGACCCTCTGCCATTCTGGAAACCGGGGGAATTCGGTGGAAATATTAATGCTGGACTGGGTGTGCTGAGTGTCCGCATGCTCAGGTCGGAGTCTGGAAGACAAAACACATGATTTCAGTAAGCGGTGGGTGGACGCAGAGCTCTCTGTGCAGCTCAGCACCCCACTAGCCCATTTATTAATGGAGCATGATGGGCTTCAGGATTTGTTGGGGGTCAAGCAGTCATTTTTACCAATGAGAGTGAGGAAAAATGTATTTCAAAATCAAAATCTGTCTTAGAGTATACTCTGAAAACACTGTTCACCTTAGTGTTGGGTACATGACAGATGCACCCCTAGCTGCAGTGTCAAAGCCATGCTAGCAAAGGAGGGGCTGCAGGTCTGAGCCCTGTAATGAAGAAGAGACGGCAGTGGAAGTCCAGGGATTTTAATTCTTTGTACTCTCAATTAAACACTGCAAGAAATGAGTACATTTGAATCACAGGCTTTTTTGACAGAGAGTAACTGCCCATAACCTTGGCGCTACCTAGGCAGCTGTGAGCTGTCGGGGGAGGGATACTGTGGTCCTTTGCTTCTCAGCTCCTGCAGCCGTTCAGTGGGAGGCCAAAGAAGAGCTCACAAGGCAAATGCCACTTCCTTCACCAGACCTGAGCAGATGGGAAAGGCACAACCCCGCACACTTATTTTCATTGTGTCATTAAAACTCATTTTTCATTCACGCAGACTGGGAGTCAGCATTTCAACCAAGAGCCCAGTGACTTGAAGGGGGGTTGACTGTGCCTTTTCATGTGCATGCAGAAAGCACTCCTTTCCAATGGACTAAAGTGAACTTCAGTTGGATTTGAAAAAAAAAAAAAGCTCAGAAAAGTAAGTGGCGAAGAAAGAACATGCCTGGAAACTTGTTATAGAGCTGTTGCACAACATTTATATGCTCTTTTTGCTAGGGCTAATTGTCACACTGGAAGCAGTCAACCCAAAAAAAAACCCACCAAAAAAAATTGCTACTTCTTTACCTTCTTTATTTCACTTTACTGGCAAAAAGCAGGCACAAAAATAAAGGGTCTCTGCTACTAAAAAAGGTTGCCTTTGCTGAAAGATTATTTCAGCTGTTTTCCCTCTGTGCTGACATTGCTGCCTACGAGTCATTTCCACTCCTGCTCCCAGCTTTCCAAGCAAAGCAAGTAAAAGAGTGGAAGACAACTAGGATGTGATATTGATAGTCAAGCAAATGCTGTGGGCAATATATTTAGACACCCCGAGATACTTCAGCAGTACACCACACAAGATGCACCAGTGTATGTGAGATCAATGCTGCTGCTGAGCTCACTCCTTCAACCTCTGACCTTTCAGTACTGATCTCAACAGAAATTCTTCATGAAGGAAAGCACCATCCAGAGATGAACACAGGAACCACAATTTAGTGCCCAATAGAGTAACAAATATCATGAATGGAGTAAGAACAGTGGTTGTAGAGCACCAAGCTTCCCTCCACATCACATCTGCTATCACTTCAGTGTTCAGACATTTCAGGGAAGCGTGCAAAGCCATCTCCTTAAGTAACACTGACTCTACAGCTCTGTGACTCTGACAGCATAGGTATGGGCCAAGCAGGGTAGAGCCAGAAATGCATTCAACGAACCTGCCCAAATCTGGGTTTAGGCAGAGTATTTAAATTAAGTACATTTTAGATGAATTTCATCAATGCCTTACACATGAATTTCCCCATGAAGCTTTTACTTAGTCCAGCACAGGCATGCTCTGATCTCACTAGCTACAAAAGTGGCAACCACAGGCCTGCATTTTCACAGGGGAGAGAGGCACAGCTATTTAGCTGAAGAACCGAAGACACAAAGTCCAGCAGCTTGCCCAAGATCACCCAGCTCAGTTGCAGAGAGATCAAAATCATCACTTCACACTGTGAAGGAAAAACCTACGCTACCTAGCTCCTTCCCTCTTCCTCTTCTGTATCTTCTTTTACTTACACAGAAACAAAACTTACACAGAAACTCAGTATTTCAGCAAGTGACAGGAAAAACATTTTATTCAAGGCTTCTGGTCTATGCTGTGGCTACGTGGACCTAACCCAGGGATTTTTATATTTTTGAGCAAGAACTGTATCTTAATACAGAGTGGGTTTTGCAGACACGCTGCTCCCCTTTGAGACCTCCTAATACCCCCCTGGCAGCTATTGCAAATAATTGCATCGAGGAGTGTTATTTGGAAAGCGCCTGGTATACTCTGGTATTTAAAAATGAGATTCACAGCTGGAGAGAAAAAAAACCAAAACACGAGCAGCAGCCAGGCTCCTGCAGACAAGCACTGACTCCACAGACCACTTAGGCAACAGTCCCCTAGATTAATTTTTGCAAGGACTTACCATATGTTTGACCTCCCTCACATTACCACCAAAAGCAACGACAGTGCCTGAAGTTAACGTGTGCAGAAGATGTGGCAGACTTGGAGCCTTTACTTTTTGCTCTT